TTTTATTCTAAGTACTACTAATGAAAAGTATTTAATTCTTTACATGGACATTTGAAAAATTAAAAATGACAGAATTAATGATTTCTTAGATAAGATACCCAAAGCATAAGCAACAAATGAAAAAAATAGATAAATTGGACATCATCATAATTAAAAACTTGTGTTCCAAAGGACTGTATCAAGAAAGTGAAGACAACCTACACAATGAGAGAAAAGTTTTGCAAATCATGTATTGGGTATGGGAGTTCTATCTACGATATATAAAGAATTTCTATAACTCAATAATAAAAAGATAAATATCCCAATTAAAAAATAAGCAAAGGATCTGAATAGATATTTTTTCAAACAGGATATACAATTGGTCAATAAACAGATGAAATGATGTTGAATACCGTTAGCTATTGTGGAAATGCAAATAAAAACCATGAGATATCATTTTATGCCTAATAGAATGGCTAGAATCAAAGACAGATAAGTGGGTTGGAGAGGGCATGCAGAAACTGAAATCTTCACACACTGATAGTGAGAATGTTAAATGACGTAGCCACTTTGGAAAATAGTTAGGCAGCTCCCTCAAAGCTTAAACAGTTACTGTATGACCCAGAAATTCCACTCCTAAAGATGTATATAGGGGCAGCCGGATGGCTCAGTTGCTTAGGGCATGTTTTTTTGTTGTTGTTGTTGTTGTTTTAATTGGGGAATTGGAGAGGGGAACAGTGTTGGGGAATTGGGGAAGGGGAACATTGTGTTTTTCCAGGACCCATCTGCTCCAAGTCAAGTTGCTGTCCTTCAATCTTAGTTGTGGAGGGCGCAAGCTCAGCTCTAAGTCCAGTTGCCACTTTCAATCTATTGTAGTTGCAGGGGGTGGGGGGGATGTAGTCCACCGTCTCAATGTGGGAGTTGAACCAGCAACCTTGTTGCACACTGAGCTATGCGACCGCCTGTCGGCAGCTTGCACCTGCTCAGCTCAAGGTGCAGTACTCAATCTTAGTTGCAGGGTGTTGCAGCCCACCAACCCATACGGGTGTCAAACCGGCAACCTTGCTGCTAAGAGCACACGCTCTCACCAGCTCAGCAGCAGCTCAGCTCAGGTCCAGCTCACTGGCCCATGTGGGAATCGAAACGGCAACCCTGTTGCTCAGAGCTCGCGCTCTTAATCAACTGAGCCACTCGACCAGCCTTAGAGCACATGCTCTTAACAAAACAAGGTTGCCAGTTCAACTCCTGCATGGGATGGTGGGCTGCACCCCGCTGCAACTAGACAGCCCCCTGCAACTAGACTGAAAACAGCAACTGGACTTGGAACTGATGGGTCC